CCCTTGCAAAACCAACCGAATCTGAAGAAGTACGATCATTGCACAGTTGATGAAGACGGAAGGGCAGTGATCCTGGAATGGGCTTTGACTCTGGCTCTGGCTTTCTTGAAGATCTTAGCCTTAGCACAGCCGATGACAGAGGTGAGTGAGCCCTTAACCTTTCGACGAATTCTCTTCTCTTTCTCTTTACTACCGGCCCATTTCGCACATACGTATACATTCGCATTCGTTTGAAGAAACCCACCAACTTGATCCTGGGGCATGCCTTAAAACGGAGGCACATGCTTCTTTGAATAAGAATTACCACAAGAACTACGAGTGTGTCCTCAAATATCCACATTTCTATACCACTGCATGTTCGAAAATGTCAGAAAAAGCGCCTAGTCTTGGAGAGAGTCCATTTATTCATTCGATTCTCTTAGAAATAGAAATAGCGTTAGAAAAGTTATGAAACATGTTTCCTTAGCCAAAAATAAGCAGAACACAATAGATCGATGTCGCTATGTACGTATGCGTATGAGTACGTGCTTGTTTGCTTGGCTGGTGCTACAGTTGAATATAGAATTTCTAGTACACAAGGAGTAAAATTTATCTCGTGGTTCAACTTCAATAGGCCAAGGCAGAAAAGGAAAGAAAGTGAATATCCTAATTACTATTGGGTTGATGCATAATTATTGCGGATTTTTTCAACAAATTTTATTCAGCGAAAACGATAAAATATTCAACAAAAACATGTTTAAATGATTATTCCGGAGCGTAGTCACCATCCTTCAAGAATGCTTCCCATTTGCTTGGCAGTCGGTCGATTCCACGGGTGAAGAAGTCACGATTCTTGGAGACGATCCACGCTCTAACATCGGCCACCAAGTCATCCAGCTCGTCGTAAATTTTGTTCGTTTGCCAGTTTTCAACGACTGATTGAAGTGGTAGTCTGTAGGAGCTTCGGTCGGTAAATATGGCGTTTTGAACCTCTTGAACCATCTTTCAACTTGGCTTTTGCTGATTGTTCCCTCGCCGAAAAGTTCGTTGAGATCGCGAAATGACTCTGCCGCCTTCCAACCTTTCTCGAAGTGGTAGAGCATATGTGGCGAATATGAAGATGATTTTCGATAAGCATTTCTGTTAAAAGAGAAGAATATTTCATGAAAAAAATGAATAGAACGCAAATCTTTTCGAAGGAAGAAGGCGCGAAAAAAATCCGCAGTGATTTAACCAAATATAAAAGCTTCGTCTGTCGTTCTGTATGTCTGTCACGAAATTCCCTAGCTCCTCGGGATCCGCCTGGAGGGACCGGGTCAAGTGTGGGATGGGTGGGCAAGGTCTCACGAAGTACAAAACACGCTAATCGGAGTGGTCTACATTGAAATGAACGTGTAACGTGTGTACTGACGACCAAGATTTCGATTTCAGTGACAAAACAACCTCGAAACTGGGCCAAAAAGTGGGTAAAGGTGTGCATTGGTAAGTCACATCGAATTAGGGAGACCCACCCCCGGTGGGCGGGGCGTTCTCCAAAAAAGCAGTGCTTTATGAAAAATTTCATAACTCGGTTGGGAGAAAGCCTACAGAGCAGAAAACAAATTGGTGTAGGGGAGCAATGTCTAAGGTGTTCCCAGCATACATGACGTGGGCGGAGCGCGCTCTGAAGTGTACAGCATTTTCTACAAGTCCTCATAATTCGGGCCGGAGAAGTCTTAAGAGCCGGAAAAAGGTGGATAGAGGTGGGTGGAGGAGTGGAGGCCAGCTGTCATCGGTGGGCGGGGCATGACCAAAGTGGGCGGAGTTTGCGACGAAAATTCATAACTCGGCTCCAAGAAGTCCCGGAGGCGGGAAAAAGGTGGATAGAGGTGGGTGGAGGAGTGGAGGCCAACTGTCATTGGTGGGCGGGGCATGACCAAAGTGGGCGGAGTTGCCACGAAAATTCATAACTCGGTTCCAAGAAGTCCTGGAGACCGGGAAAAAAGTGAATTGAGTTCGTCAACGGAAGGGAGGTCAACTGCTATTGGTGGGTGGGCGTGCACCAACGTGGGCGGAGTTTGCCCTAAACTTATAATTTAGTTCCGAGAAGTCCAGGAGACCGGGAAAAAGAGTGGGTCGAGTCCGACAACGCACGGGAGGACAACTGCTATTGGTGGCATGACCAAAGTGGGCGGAGTTTGCGACAAAATTCATAACTCGGTTCCAAGAAGTCCCGGAGACCGGGAAAAAGGTGGATAGAGGTGGGTGAAGGAGTGGAGCCAACTGCTATTGGTGGGCGGGGCATGCCAAAGTGGGCGGAGTTCTCCACAAAACTTTGTAACTCGGCTCCAAGAAGTCCTGGAGACCGGGAGAGAAGTGGGCGAAGGAAAGGAAGTGAATTTCTAATGGTGTGCGGAGGATACACCAAAAAAGCAGGTTTCGCCGCCAAAATATAAATCGGCTCAGAGACAGTTCAGAGGAGGTTGGCGAGGAAGAAAAAGATAGGTGGGACATGCAAAGAAATAGGCGGAGTTTACCACGAGATTTATAAATCGGTCCAGAGGCAGTCCGAGACCGGGAAAAACGGACAATTGGTTGACGAAGGAGGGAGGTCAAAAGCCATTGGTGGATGGAGCGGATAGAATCTAGCTTAGAAGTCAAATATTCGTGGTGCATTGAGCAAATTTGAGAATTTGCCCAATACACCTCGAATATTTGACCGCACCATCCCATATCGCCGCAGACCTGTGCTGTGCGCGCAACGCTGCGGCGTCAACTGGTGTGCAATACATAATCGTGTTAGCTGAAGAGAGCAGGGCGAAGAAGGAAGAATGAAGAAGGAGATAAATGGAAGGTAACGATAGTGTGGCACGTGAGGTCAAGAGTATATAGACATCTAGCGATTACAGGAGTTTGGGGAGGGGGAGAAAAAGAAAGAGTTGATTGCTTAGCGCGCATCATCGAACTTTTCGTGGCTGAGGGTGCCGCTGTTGTTGTAATTTTTACAGCAAAATTCCCATAGATGTAAGTAGAGGGGGAGCTTTTCCCATAAGCAGAAGCAGGCCCTTCTTCATTGCCCGCGGCTTCTCTCAGAATATGACGTCATCTGCATCACAGTGGAGCTCTGGGAGGCCTACAGTAATCGCTCCATCCTGAAGCTGCCTTGTAAATTCTTCAATCGGTTTGCTGATGGGTAGCTTTCCAGAGACTATCTCTGACTTGCTGGTCATTCCAAACAGCATTGTGGATACCGTCATAGTGGCCCAAGATCTGATCCAACCTCGTTGATTTCAAACGGTACACCATGTTCCCGTCGGTATAGAAGCAATGTGAATTTGTTTTAATACATTGGGATGTGCTCTTCATATGTAGTTGAATGCATCCGGTTTAAGCTAATCGTAAGCAATATGTGAATGTTCAGTTTCAAATGTGGACGGGTGTGACTTCTTTTCTACTTTTCCCTCTGTAGACAAATGGAAAGACGAAAGGAAGAGAGGTAGAAGCAGAGGAGAAGAAAAATGACCCTAAAGGGATGAATGATTATGAACTCGATTCTCTGAATATGTCAAATTTTAGCAAAATCAATAGTTTGGATCAGGCTTTTCAGATCTCGTAGCTTTGCGTAACAGCACAGATGAGGTTCCGCTGCTGTCCATGAGCACATGGACCTGGCTAACTTCACAAAGGCTTTGTAGCTAAGCAGACTCCAGCCTGCATGGACAACTCCGTTGATGCATTCAGAATTTTTGCTTCAATGATACATCTCATTTTCGAACAGTTTGGTAAGAATACGACGCATTCTGCGGCATGTTCAGGTCCCTATAACCGTACAAGTTGAGAGAGAACTTTTTCAATTTTAGCCCTCAAATTCTTGAGTCTACGTCTTCCATGCTCGCAACATTGTGAAATCGTTAGGGTATGAGATTTGCTTTCTATTATATCTCCTGGAAATTATAGAAATATTGAAAATCCTTATATTCTTTTAAGTCGTATTGTTTTCTTATACTCCTTCAGAAAGGAGGGAAGACGTGGAGCGTTTTTTTTACAAAAGTAGGGGTGGTTCTGAAGTAATTGTAAAAACACACCATATATTACTTCGTGGTGCGTCAGGATTGCAAATCCTACCGTAATCTGACCTTTCGAACCCGTGAACCTATATACAGTATTGATAATGTTTCCTCTGTTTTGTTTGTCGTATGTTTCCTTCGTTTCCAGAGATTCACACCTGGCAGATATTTTTTACTTGCTAGCTACTCACATGCGGATAAAAGGACGAAGAAACATACTGGTAATGAATAACTCAGAACTTCATTCTAAAAATTCACCTGTTCAAATAGGCCGCAACTCTTAGCGTCCTCGAAATCGTCTTTCGTTCCTGCACTTGTCGCGACAATTCAAAGGATGGGGCTTAAAATGATGACAAAATGGCTGTGGCTCAGTCCGAGCCAGAAAGGTCGAAAAGGGTTATGGACAATGGCAACATATGGCCTTATCCTTAAGAATCTTTCACAATGGCTGAACATAAACGTGGAAATTTCCTTGAAATAGATCCCACAAAAATCGACCCCTGCCGCATGACGTCCTTCTTTATTTCATGTTGTATTTTTTTGCGGGCAGCTTTGAGCGATTCATTCGGACTGTGTTGTTTCGTGCACTTCTTCTGCTTCAGTATCGACCAGGGTGAAGCGAGACATCGGGGAATATTTTGAAAGACGACCCGCCCTCCCCATCTTCTCCCTGCAGTGGTCGAAGCCATGAAACGCCTCTCCTCGCAAGCCGAAGTATGAAAAAGCTGTCTAACCTCCCTGAAACCTTTCATCAAAGAATAGTGCCCTCCTACTCCGAC